TCCTTCCAGTAGGTCAGTAAATAATATGTTTCTAAAATGATCGTGGTTAACGCATTTAAGGCGCCATCTTGGGTCGGCTATATTTAATTATTTTCCAATGTTCATTAAATTTTATCATCCTGTGCCTCAATAAATGTGATTCAGCAATCAAGAGTGGTACTTTACTATGCAGACACGGCTGAATTTAGCCATTTTTAGCATTTCATGGGATATTTTCTATTTTATACGCCATATTTGAACCGCCATGTTAAGCATTTAAAAAAATAATCATTGCTACCCTTAATACTTACTTTACATAACGTTTTTGTTAATTTTTTAGGCTTTTTAAACTCAAATACTATTAATAGCACAGGTCGACAAAAAAAATGTATATTTTTGAGACATGACCTACCGATCTTTAGTAAAAATTTCCACTAAATCCGAAAATGATAAAAAAAACTCTGACGTGTGTTTTCTCCCCTACACACCCTTAATTCCCCTCCAAAAATTAAAAAAATCCAAACTAGCTTTCCAATGCACCTATCTTTAGTATATTTTCCAACGAATCCTAAAATGATAAAAAAAAATTTTCTGACTTATGGATTCTCCCCCACACACCCTCAATTCCCCCAAAAAAAAAAAAAAAATCAAACTGGCCATCGAAACTACCTATCTTTAGTAATAGTTTTCGCTGAATCTGAAAATAAAAAAAAATATGACGTAAGGATTCTCCTCCACACATCCTCAATTCCCCCCGAAAACTCAAAAAATCCAAACTGTCTATCCAACCTACCTATGTTTAGTAAAATTCGCTGAATCCGAAAAATATTTGGATTCAGCAGAAAATTTTACTAAAGATAGGTGGTCTGGATGGTTAGTTTGGATTGATTTAATTTTTGAGGGGAATTGAGGGTGTGTGGAGGGGAATCCACCTGTCAGAATTTTTTTTTATCATTTTCGGATTCAGCGGAAACTTTTACTAAAGATAGGTAGGGTCACGTTTCAAACACACACGATTTTTTTTGTCGGTTTATGTAATTACATTTTTTTTAAATTGGACCATGTTTTTTCAGCTTATAGTCGCCATATTGAGCCGCCATTTTGTTTTTTTCAAAAACAGCGAGTGGCATTCGAAGGTAAACATCTCTACGAAAATGTTTGTACCCTGTTGACTTTTTTTAGATGTAATAAATTTTGGGTAGTTTACATGGAATGTGCCTTATACAGGGTGTTCCTGAAATAAGTGCTTTTCTTGAAAAGGGCAGTAAAGTACGCAAAAATATTTATTTTATTTATTTATTTATTTATTTATTTATTTATTTATTTATTTCTTAATGTCACTAAGACCTGGTGTCCATTTTAATGGACTCATTTTTTTTAAACCTAAACGTTAAAAATAAATAT